CACGGTTTTGCTGCAGTTAGCCTTTAGCCATGGTTTTGCTGCAGTTAGCCTTTAGCTTTTAGCCATGTTTTGTTTCAGTTAGCCTTTAGCCATGGTTTTGTTGCAGTTAGCCTTTAGCCATGGTTTTATTGCAGTTAGCCTTTAGCCATGGTTTTGTTGCAGTTAGCCTTTAGCCATGGTTTTGCTGCAGTTAGCCTTTAGCTTTTAGCCATGTTTTGTTTCAGTTAGCCTTTAGCCATGGTTTTGTTGCAGTTAGCCTTTAGCCATGGTTTTGCTGCAGTTAGCCTTTAGCCTTTAGCCTTGGATTTACTGTAGTTAGCCTTTAGCCTTGGATTTGCTGCAGTTAGCCTTTAGCCATGGTTTTGCTGCAGTTAGCCTTTAGCCTTTAGCCTTGGATTTACTGTAGTTAGCCTTTAGCCATGGTTATGTTGCAGTTAGCCTTTAGCCTTTAGCTTTTAGCCATGGTTTCTCTGAGTTCACCTTCTGCTTGTTTTAACATAATGAATTCAGTTGTTTAGCTGAAATGGTTCTGGTCGGACCTGTGTGGCCGGTACCTGACTGGTACCCTGAGGATCCTGAAGACAGATCAGCTCCAGCTCCCGGCGCCCGGCTTCCATAGGTCATTTCCCACAATGCACTGCTCTCCAGCAGGCCGGCTCCAGCTCTCATCGCCACGCCGGCATCCAGGCTGAGGCTGCTAGCATAGCTGCTGAACGGAGACGGCCTGAAGCTTTGGAAAGAGGACGGGTCGGCCCGAGGCTGCTGGGCCAACAGGAACCCATGAAGAGGTTTGGATTGAGAACTGGGAAACCCTGATGGAGACAAAAACCACAAACTGAAACTGATCAACATTAACTGTTAAAAACCAGAGAGGACCGTAACGTAGGAAAGACTCAGTTTAAGGGTTAGCAGCAGGTACATTTTAGCTTGTTTAGTGTTCAACAGCAGGTAGATTTTAGCTTGTTAGTGTTCAAACAGCAGGTAGATTTTAGCTTGTTTCGCATTCAGCAGCAGGTACATTTTAGCTTGTTAGTGTTCAACAGCAGGTAGATTTTAGCTTGTTAGTGTTCAACAGCAGGTAGATTTTAGCTTGTTAGTGTTCAAACAGCAGGTAGATTTTAGCTTGTTTAGCATTCAAACAGCAGGTAGATTTTAGCTTGTTTAGCATTCAGCAGCAGGTACATTTTAGCTTGTTTAGTGTTCAAACAGCAGGTAGATTTTAGCTTGTTTAGTGTTCAAACAGCAGGTAGATTTTAGCTTGTTAGTGTTCAACAGCAGGTAGATTTTAGCTTGTT